ATTGGGTCTGATAACCTGGGCTTTATTGAGCCAAACTCTATTGAACCAGGTCCAATGGGTGTGAGCCCAGACCAATTAGGATGTCTACAGGTACAATTTTAATTTTATAAAAATATATAAAATCTTTGCATCATTTGTCATGTTTATTTTTTATAAAACCAAATGAAAGGCTTTTTTCAAGGTTGTTAAGGATATTATCATAAAAATATATTATTTAACAAATATAGAGTCTCTCCGATCAAACACAAGAATTTAAAAATGAAATGCTCTAAAAATCACACTTTTTTTTTAAATAAAAAGAATTCACAATTCAAACATCCGCTGAAAATATTAGATAATAAAATAGATTGATACATGAATTAAAGGTTCAAATATTCTATTAGACCATATTTAGTAAATGTATCATATGGGACACTTTTCAATACCTCAAAAAATTACATAGGATATTATCCATTTTGGATAATATTCCAATGTAAGCTGCAACAATGACAAGAAATTTATGTCAAAAGACTTTCCAAGATTGCAAGCCAAGGGATCATGCTCCATTAACACAGGAAATTCTCTTTTGAAATTTTTTCTAAATTTAAAAATTTTTCGATTTATTTAACCAAACAAGACAATTGGATTTTAGATTTTTAAGTATCTTAATTCGAATGAATTTTTGTTTTAAAATATCTCAACTAAAAAATTGACTATGTAAAAAAGTGAAATGGCGATATTGTCCCTACTGTGCTTCTTACTGGGCTAGTAGGAGTGTGGCGTGTTCATGGTGTCCTTGGTGGTCGTCTTGAGCCTTAGCCCAGGCCTATAACACTCGTAGATATTTGGACCATGTCCCTAATTTTCTATTAGTTATCGAAAATGGGTGCATATCATCATCAGGCTTGGAATTTGTGGAAAGAATTAGAAGACAGAAAATTTTATTGCATGGACTTTATGGATTCAACTTGTTCGACTAAATTTTGTTCTTATGTGTTCAAGGCCATGTATAGCAGATCATGTGATATCCATGCTCAAGTTAAGTATCCGTCGATTGAGTTAGTGTCACAAGTTAGTAAGTGAATTTATGCAAAAAAAAAAAATCAAATAAAATTAATTAATATTTGAATATAATATGTTATCTGCATGTATTAGTAATTTCATTATTTATTAAGAAAAGAGAAGTGCATGTTCTTGCTGTTCCCATAAGAAAAAGGAAGTTCTTGTTGTTTAACAGTGAATAGGGTTTAGAGCAAATGAGGGAAGTGATTCCAAAGTAGAGCATTGTGGGTTGGGAGTGGGAAGTTTCAACTTTCATCTCAAAGCATAACAATAATTCTAATAAAAATGATGTTGGAGGACTAAAAGTAAAAGAAAAGAGCCAACTTTTATCATTATCATTTGACGTCATACCCATCTCTAACACCTCACGTGCATGCAACCGAATTTCCCATATATATATATATATATATATTTCCTTTCCTAAAACCAAACCAATCCTTCCCAACTTCCTAGTCTTTGGCAGGTATCTGATTTCTTTAAAGACGGAGGTTCGCAGTTTATATTTAATAGAAGTACATTTTTTTTATTATGCATGAAAATAAGCTATATGTACTATGTAGTCATGTTTTTCGTATATAAAGGTAATAGAGAAGTATGGGTGAAAAATGCGTCTTGTAATTGAAGAAGAGAAAGTATAATAGAAGCATTCGTTTGGTTTGGTTTGGATCATTGGAATGGTGGGCATGCATGGAAGCATTTCCCAAGGAGAATCGAATCAGTACCACTGTCCTTTCTTTTTGCTTTTTCACAGTTTGCTACAGCCTTCTTTACCCATTCCCCAATAAAATGGTGGGAATGAATTTGTCTCTCTGTTACTATATCTGTTTTTCCCTTTCATTTTTTTCGTAATTTTCTTTTTTTCCTTCACAACTTCTCTCTTGGATGAGATGGGGGTAAAGAAAATGACAGTGAAAAAGCCATTTGCAGTGAAGAGAAAAAAAGACAAAAGAAAAGATGGTCAAAATTTGAACCTCGAAGACTTCTCTTCCCATCATCAGCTTCGACTATCTTTATCGAAACTCTACCATTTTTCCCTTTCTTTAATTTTGAACAGCAAAATATATGGATTGGATTTGGTCATCAAAGGAAAAACTTCTCCTTCAATATTTTCAATCAACAAATCATCAAAGGTTCAATAAATTAATGGAAACTAGCTCATAACGTTCCTTGAAACTATATATGGCCATGCAACTTTTGCTTTAACCTCGGCTCCGTAGTCTTAGGCTATATCTCCATGGAAATGACCAAAACCTGACATGCACGAGTGACATTTCATATATTATACACAAATCTATAATCTATGTGCTTCTTCTCTTCTAGTTAAGTACTTGTTCAATTTTTGGGAAAATGGCCTTAATATCTGATATAGATTTCTTTTTCTTGGAATTCTGGCTGAACCCAAGTTCGATGTCTAGAAATCCTTGCCTCAGTACTAAGATATAGGTGAACATATATCATTGGTTTAGGAAGAACGTTGAAGCGTCCGAGAGTTGAGTTACATCATAATTAAGATATAAAATATTTGCAATTTTTTTTAAATTAACTTAATTAATTCATGTAATCATCACATTTCATAAGATTGGATTCAAATTTTATCCCCTATCATCCTTTATTTTTATCTTTTATTCTTAAATTGTGATTTTTTTTGTAAAATATGTCATCAATTATTATCTTATGTCATTTGTGAATAGTCGAAAATGTTTGACAAATTACCACTAGTATTACTTCTTAAAAGCAAACTGCTATTTTATTAAAGTTGACACTCAGGAAAAAATATTGGCTTGAGATGAGATACAAACTTATGTATATCAAGATTTAATTATTTTATATGATTAAATAGGTCAAATTAATGACACTTATTATAAAGCAGTACGTGTTCTGATCCAGGTTTTGGGATCTCAGTCTGTTTATGGACTGATTTCAATAATAAAATTTCTATTTTGATTGAGCCAAAAAAAAAAGGGGGGGGGAATGAGAGATCTCGCTTTTGAACTTTTTAGATGGAGGAAGATTTGCTTAAAGATCTTGAAGTAATGGAAACAAGAATAATTTGGATACCTGGGGGAAAATATTCCACTCCAAAAAAGAAATTAGGAAAAGGCATGATTTTAGTATGGCTAGGCAATTTGGAACCACAATTTGCAGGAATTTTGCTACGTTTATGTCCAAAATGACAGCTTAATCCCTAACATTTTACGAAAATAAAGGGTATTCTCAGAAACCTTTTGACTTACCTGAAAAAAAAAATGAAGTTCCAAGTACATCAACAACGGAATATTCAAAATTGAAAAGCAACACCAATTTTTTGCTATGTAGTGACTGTTAGGGGATATATATATATATATATATATATATATATATTATTGAAAGGAGACATAAGATAAGAGAATAAAGCGGGCGTGGGGTCCTTTTTTATCTAAGGTTTTTAGAGATTTGTTCATTTGTCCTCCTTATCCAATCTTCTCATCACTCAAATACTCAACAGGGAAAAAAACATCAAGGCAACGTCGATCTCCCTGCTTGAATATGATCGAGCATAATTCTGATAGCTAACAAAACAAAAATGAGGGCATGCAGCGGCCCTAATGTGCCACAGTCAAAAAGTTTTTCTCTTTGGTTCATCAAGCGCAAGATTAGAAGGATTGGACGTGCTATAGCTGGCTGTGTTTGGAGGATTACAATGCGTGCTAAATTTGCTTTATGTAGGGACATGAGCTAGCTGGCGGGGGTTTGACTCTCCTATAAAGTAGAAAACATAGGCAAAGGAATTTAATATGTGAATGGCTGGCGATGGTGGAATGGAACAAATTAGCAGGCAATTAGGCCAAATTTGCATCCAAGGAAAGACCAGCTATTACTGCAGTGCAAGCTCACATGTTATACCATTTTTGCGTATGAGCTAGACTGGAACAGCAACGTATAAAACAGTCTAAATTGCAAGTTATTTCTCTCCCTGCTCGCCTTTTTCTAAGAAAGAAATCAAAATTTGATGTGCTATAGGGTAAATGAATTATATATATGCATTTGATGTAATTTTCTTGTGGATGAACTATATATAAACTCAATGAATTGGATCCCCATCGGTAAATGAGCTGGGGTTTTTTTCCTCTCCAAGAAGACAATTCATAGTTAAAATTTGATAATTTCAAGTAAATCAAGTTGCTTATGAAGTTGAAACAATAGAAAAATGACGGATACAATTGTCAAACAAAGTTATATAGAATCCTTATAAATACAATTAGAATTTGAAACTTAATTTTAGTAAAATTAATTTTCATTGAATTCAAACTTTGAGGGACTAATAAGATTTATAATATACTAGAAGTAGATTCTGATATATAACATACAATTCAATGAGCCTTCACATATTTCTAAAAAAAAGGATTTATATGTTGGGAGTATAAAGGAAAAGCATGCAGAAAGAAGGGCATATAAGGAAGTAAATAATAGTATGAAATTGTTTGCATGTGCTCATGCACTTGCCACACCTCTACATGCAACTAGAAGCCCTAAAAAGGAGCTGTAGTTGGCGCTTTTTAAATCTTTTTTTCCCCTTTGGAATCTAATTTCAAATTTCCTTTATCTCTTTTTCGAATTTTAGTTTATTGTGATTCCATTGTTCAAGGAGTTAAAGTGAAGAATACGAAAAAGAAAACCCTAAGCACTCCACTGGCTAGCTACTACTTCAATTCTCAAGGTCTAGTCAGGTATATAAATAACCAAACCCCATATTAAAAAACCACAAGTTTCCTTACAACAGGATTTCTTGTATGTATCTTCAGTGCTACTGACTCTTCCTATCTTCCACCATCTGCATAGCTGCTCTCTCAAGGTGATCAGCTAGACACTATGGATTTTCCAACTCCATTCCCTGGCCTCATTTTTTCTATTTTCTAGACCTGCAACGCTCAGCACTTTTAGGTTTTGATTACAAGTTTGGGTACCATATTCCAAGATTCATTATGAAATTGATGCATCTCAAAGTAGTTTATTTATTATTAGTACCTTCCATTCTTAGCAGGAACTTATTTTATTACATTATTACTTACTTGTGTGCTCGCTTTGTCTATGAAAACCAGACAAAAATTGTTCTCAATAGTACTACAGCATATGTTATGCTAGTCCAGATCCAGCTCTGTCTTTGTTTGTTATGATGTACTAGCCTTTTCTTTGTTATAAGCTATGGGCTGATTATATTTACGTCTCCCGCTTTTTTTGCTCAACTCTTTTAGAGGAGAAAATATGAGCAGGCCAGGAGACTGGAATTGCAGATCATGCCAACACCTCAACTTCCAAAGGAGGGACTCGTGCCAGCGCTGTAGAGAACCAAGACCTAGCGAGAGAGGTGACTATGGAAGCTTTGGTGGCAGGGGTGGCTCATCATTCGGGTTCAGTACAGGACCTGATGTTAGGCCTGGTGACTGGTATTGCACTATGGGGAACTGCGGAGCTCACAACTTCGCCAGCAGATCAAGCTGCTTCAAGTGTGGTGCAGCCAAAGATGAATCGTCTGGAGGAGGACTTGAAGGTGACATGCCTCGTATGAGGGGTTATGGCTTTGGCAGTGGCAGCTCTAGCCGCTCAAACTGGAAATCTGGGGACTGGATTTGCACCAGGTTGATTTAAATGATTGACACAATTTTTATTTTTGCATCCTTGTATTAAAGCATAAAATATTTTCATACTATTACAATATAAAGTACTTAAGTGGTGACCTATCGATCATAGGCATTACATGTTGATAGGAAAATCTATATTTTTCACTGAAAAGGAAAGTTTCAAAGTTGTGAACTATTTAAAAAAAAAAATACTATTTTCATTTTATCCTGCATAAACATAAACTTGAACGTGAGAATTGATAAACAGTTCTTGTTATGCCCAAAAAATATCTCAGTTGACTAATTTCTCATTCTTTTTGGGTGGCATTAATTGGACAGGTCGGGCTGCAATGAGCACAACTTTGCCAGCAGGATGGAATGTTTCCGATGCAATGCACCAAGGGACTTCAGCAACAAATCTTCATATTAATAAAATTTTCATTTTTGGGGTATGGGACTTAAATAGTTTTTGAAACTTTTGTCCAAATTTCCTCACAGATTACAACTTTGTTACAACTGATTTCAGGTACTGCAGTCCCAAGAGAGATCACACAAGACACCCCCCAGATGATCACTCTTTTTGCTCCTAGCTTCCTCTCTCTCTCCTTCTTTTTTTTTTTTTTTTTTTCACTATTTTAGATATTCCTTATCTCTGTCTTCTACTAGGGAACTTTAGATGAATCATGTTTGAAGACATCAGTTGAAGTTGAGCTAAATTATTTAGCATTTTGTCAGCTTTCTTATAATATCAAAGTATAGGCATGTAATTGATCTATGGTATCAGCAATGTTATATCAGTGTCTTTGTGCCTCAATCTCTTTCTCTTTCTCTTTCTCTTTGCTGTATCTATTGTGGAAGACTGCTTTTTGTTTGAAAATGGTCCAAGGAATATTTGAGTATTGTAACTTAAAATCAGCAAACGATCACTTCTGCAAAGGCAAAGGCAAAGTAAAGGGTCATTCTTGGACCACAATAGGTTCTTTTGTTTAAACCAATGCCAGAGAAGAAATGTAGTGCTACTAGTATTAGCATATTTGATTCAAATAATTATGCCTTACGAATATTTAATCTTTTAGCAATTAAGAGAGATTAAGACAATAAATCATGTCCAAACGAGCATCATATCTTTGAAATATTAGATGAGACATTATTACAATAAGATTGAAAATCAGATGCCTAGCTAACTTCAAAGAAATTAATGAAATATTTGCAACATACATACATAATATATATATATATTTACATTTGATGTAACTAAAGTCCTTGTCTTCCAAACCTCGCCAAATTGATATATTATTCTTCTCGAATCCTCCAAAATATGCATTAAGTTAGAACAGCATGAGCACTTGGGATTAATTATATACACAATGGGATTTTTGTTTTTAATTAAGGTTAGGTGAATTTCAAATCAATCATTTGTTTTTAAGGTTTTCCGTGGGATTCTATGCCATATTGTTAATTGGATATGGTGGGGATTCTCAAGCTGAAACAAGTCACTTTAAAACCATCCATACAAGCTGTCACTGTAAGTCTGTAACATGGACCATTCATTCATATATATTTGTATTTAACAGTTTAATTTTGGTTTCATGGAGCCCTAAAATTCCCTACTAATCACTTTAATTAAGAACTGCTAATTAATTATCATGCATTAATATAATATTATCTTAACTAAAAAAGGAAGAGATAACTCTTGGATATTAATTGTACTTTGCAGCATCCAATGTACTAATTCTAAGGAACAATGAAAAAGTTATAGTCAAGATATATAGTCTAATTTTCCATCAAATTAATTATTATTATTATTATTATTAGTTTGCTTTCTTTGATTATCGGATGGGGTTAACTTTGACTAATCCAATACTTTTTATATGTAGGAAATTTTTTGATGTATAATTCACATAGGATTCCAAAGCTTTTGAAGGGAACCTTTCATGGGCACCCTTATTGACTTCTTGGGTTTTGGGGTAAAAATATATAAAGGGTAATGTTAATTTAAGAGCAAAAAATACATATATTGGTCAAAAAGTAACCACACATACATTCATTAGTGTCTGCTACTACAATCCATTATTTAGCTTTTAGCAAGATTCTTTGCTTCACTTTAAGTTTAGTTTTATGTTACTTCACTTCTCATTTGCTTTTGCTGATGTTAGTGAAGTAGTGAAAGTACTTCCCAATTGCATTATATACAATCATATTTTGGCACTTCTTGCATGCTTATCCATGTTTTTTGCCCCATTTCCACTGCATTTGCTGCCATCATTCTTCATCTATATATATATTCTTTCTCTAGCTGTCTCTTATGTCTTAATTATTGCGTCTATTGTGGGAAGGATCGATCCATGATTAGTGTATCTAATTCTAATATGGGGCCATAAGTAAATGAAAATTAATCAACTATCAACTATATGGCTATTTAAATATGTTTTTTAACTCCATGATTGGGTTTAAAATATGGGGATAACTTTTCTCTTCTAATTAAGCTCTTTGAGAAAATATTATATGAAGAAATTACTTTAATTTATTCTTTTATTCAAATCATGTCACATAATTATATTAATAAAAAAATTAATTATTAAGATAAATATTTATTATTTAATTATCTATGCAATAAATAATTGATTTTTTTAATAAATGATTATTTAACATGATTTAAATAAAAATATATATATTGATATAAAATAACAGTTTCATACAATCTTTAATAAAAAAATAAAAAAGCTCTTTATCCTCAAATGAAAACAAGATTTTTTTTTTTTTAAATGCTCGGCTCAAATAAATATTAATTATTTAATAGGCCAATAACTGAAAAGTATTTGGAAAAAGCAGACCTACATATGTAAACTGCAAATTTTATAAACTCCTGATTGATGGGTTTCAAATTTCGAGCTGACAAATTAAAGGGATGACCAGGCAAAATGCAACAAATTAAAAAAAAAAAAAAAAAAAGACAATTAATGAAAAAAGAGCACGAAAATCTTTAATCGTATTTTAAAATATCCGTTGGGGCCCCCAAAGGCCAGCCGAGTTGATATTTAAATGATCGACACTGTGATGGTCAATATTGAAAGCAAAGACAAAAGGAGGACTTTTTATCCAATTCAAGGCACCAAAAAATGACAAACTTTTTAAAGTTTTTCCCTTCAACTCTTAACTTTTATAAACCAAGCATGTTGAAACTTGTTAATCCTTTACAAACCATTTACAGTTGGCTGCTGCATGTTTTGCAAAAAGCTTGAGGGGCGTTTTTCTTATGCAAATCCACACTGGATTTTTTTAAAGTTTTTTGGACATTTCTTTTGGAGATCATATCTGTTCATCAATGCTTTGTGGTGGAAATCTCTTTTCGATCATCCAATCCAAATAAATGAAATACAAAACTTCATCGGTTGGTGATTGAGATCCTTAATCCAGTTTCTATTTTTATTTCTAAGAACCTCATCTTTACCTCTAATTTGAACAATAGCAACTCATTCCATTCAATCAAATTTATAAATCAAATTAATTATTTCAAAATCCAAAGATATATAAGGCTTAAAAAATATAATTCTTTAAACTAAATTCTTGAGATAAAGATAATTATTGGATCTATAAAAGTGTTTAAAAAATTTTAAAATTCTTCAATGTATATGAAAGTTAATTAAATATATAAAAAATATTCGAATAAAACATAGAGTATTGACAAACCTATGTATCTATATATCCAATATATACTTAATATAAATATTAAATGTTGCAAATATCTATAACTTTTTCTTTTTTAAAAAAAAAAAATTTCTTTTTTATAAATCCTTTAATCAATACAATATTGCAAATATTCAAATGTATACATGTTTTAATTTTTAAAAGAAAGAACAAAATTGTAATCATACAATGAATAAAATATAATTATTAAGAAATAAAAATTGAATTAATATCTAATAAATTATTACAAATATATTTATTTATAAAATATACGTTGATTACTTAATTTACATATATTAAAAAAAACAAATATTAATAAATATAGAAAAAAATTGGGGTGCGGATGCATTGGAGTACAATCATAAAAGGAAAGAGATATGGAAGCTTTTGAAATTAGAGCGTCGAGTGAAAGTCTTGGTTCAATTTGATGGCTCACACTACTGGGATAAGCTGATGAGTACAGCAAGCTGATTAAATACCGCAAGTAGAATGACAAGTTTACATGGTTTATTAGTTTTTTCTTGTAAATCTCCTCTTCTAGTTCATCATCACGATCCAGTTGAATGACATGTACAAAAACTCACAAATGAAAACTTCCAAGGCAGCTAAAGGAGCTTTAACAGTTTTTTTACCTGCTAGAATGCCATTTCAAGACGAACAAAAGCCAGATACCTCTTGCAGAAGTGAGGGAGGAATAAAAGCAAAAGAGACTAAAACAATAAGGCTAAGCTTGAATACATAGATAAAATGAGCTTGTGCAAACTATCCAAGTCGATGCCACAGTTTCTAGCCATTATGTCAGCCTACCTGCCTGCTTTAAATGTACAAGTAAAGCACAACACCTCTAAAGCTTGACTAATCTTGATGTAACCTTAAGATCTTATTCGTAACCATCCAAGTTCCATGCATGGCATGCAAATCCAGGAAACATTTGAAAATAAAAAGTAAATTTTAAGCAGCAAATGAGGTTTTTGGAATTACATCTACGGGAAAACTTCAGCTGATCCGTTACAAGTGTTCAGTATAAAAGAAAATGTGAAACTTTTCACTCAAGAGAATGGAATTTCAAATTATTTCAGCTTAGATTTGGAAGAGCTCTGAAGAGGCTTTGCAATTGGTCGTGCAGGAGCTGTTCTCATAACTTTCTTCACATCATACTTGATAGATGACAAGGCACAAATTAGTGCAATCAACATTGTTGGATATACGTACACAGCTTTTGTAGGATCAGAATTTGCTGGCTTTCCCAAGATCCCTTCCTTGACAAGACCCCAGATTACCAGTAGCGTCCCAAACATGCTCATCCTTCCAGGTTTTAGAAGGCCAACAAGTGCTCCCGCCACACAGAAGTAGCTTCCCGCCAGAACCTGTACAAGAACCAGATAAAGGAGATGAGATGAGATTACAAGACAATCTTATTTTTTACAAGATTGGGTTTATCAAAGGACACAAATTTGGATGACTATTTGAAACTAAACCCTTGTGCAGAAGATGCAAGGATGGTGAAGTGTACAATCGCATATTTGACAAGATGGGGCTTATCAAAGGACACAAATTTGCATGACTTTTTGAAGCTAAACGCTTGTGTAGAAGTTGTAAGGATGGTGAAGAGTGTCATGGAAGCGGCCTGCAGCCCATTGTCAGATGTCCATTTTATTTTCTCTTTGGATGACAAATTGGTGACAAATATATTACGGAAAGAAAACAGTAAGACGGGTTCTGGGAATAATTCAACATATATGAGTAGGATCGGCAATTTAACCCATCACCAACGGGTTCCGACCAGACCTGACCCTACGAGGTCGATTTTTTTCTTTCGAAATTTGGGTTTCGGGTCGAGTCGGGTAAGATTATGAAACAATCGGTGTCGGGTTGAGTTCGGGTTTTAGGCAAACTCAACCCGATATTATATAAAAAATTATTTTTTAATTAATTATTTAATTTTTTATTTATATATTTATATAATGATATTTTTAAATATTTATATTTAAAAAATAATATTTTATATTTTAAAAAATAATATTTTATTAATTTCGGGTCAGATCAGGTCGGGTACGGTTTATATAGTATCGAGTCAGGGTCGGGTTTGGGTATGAAAAAACCAAAAAAATCGGGTAGGGTCGGGTTCGGGGCGAGCAAAACCCGACCCGATGCCAACTCTATATATGACTTTGTGCACTGTCATGCATGCAGAAGTCAATTTTACTTGGAAGGTGATATCAGAAGAGTTACATAATTGCTGGACAAGGTAGTTTTTCATTAATCCAGCCTGTGACAACACAAAATTGCATTCCATGGACGGTATTTTTATTTTGCCACTAAAGACAGATGGACTGTGGTATTTGGTTTTGCAAATAATTTATGTAGGGACCAGTAAGACTATGTATATGCATCACTACAGGCTTCACCACTAACAGAACAATGGATTTCTTCATACTAATACTGAAAATGCATAACGTGCTTAAAAGTAGAAAGATAAAAGATAAAGATACGAACCTCTAAGCGCTGCAGGTCAGGCACTGCAGAGGCTTCCTTTATACTAGTTAAGTTATAGATGTTTAACAGGTTGTCCCAGCTTGGAACAGTCATGTTCTTGACAAAGCCATTTGCAATGGCTCCAGGAAACAGGAGTGCCTTCACCACAGGTACAGGAAAGATGTCACTTGCAATCAACTGGGAAGATGTGACATGAATTGGAGTTGAACACATTCCAGATCTACATGGAATCCTGCCAAAAGAGAAAAGCTGATAAAGAAGCCCCATTCTGGAATCAGATTCCAGTATAGTTTACTCATCTATATATTTCTCAATCAACAAGACCATGGACAAAGAAAAAAGGAATGTCTACATTTATTTCCATTAATATTTCCAAAAATGATGAATGAACAAAAGCACATATATCCAACAAAGGCAACTAAACTAAAGCAAGCAACTTACTGTTGGAATGCTAGTTCCAAGGCATCCTTCCGAGGGGAATCCATTGAAAGAGAAGTAAACAAAATATTATTTAGCACTCAGCTGTTTAAAACTGCATGATTCGCATTCTATGGCAAACACTTTAACTTTCGAGAATGATTAGACAGGCATCTTTTCAGTTTTTATAAACTACAGCGTGTTTCTTTTCTATTGGAAAAACTGCAGGGTAATTTGACTACCATTATATTTAAAACTTCATTATATTAAAACACTAAAAGAAGCTTATTAACCAATCTCATATCTTCTGAACTGGAGTATGATGTTTTACTCCAAGAAAATGCAGTTCTGAGACAGAGCTTGTCATAGTTCCACACAAATTTAAAGTCTGAAAGACATAGAATACTTCAAACAATCTAAGGATCAGCATATTAGGTGCAACATACGAATTGAAAAACATGAACTTCTATTGACAGTCTTTGTGGCTACCTCCAAAGCAATTCATTTTAAATAAAAATATGAACAACAATTCATTCAATTGCTAATCTGCATGGTTGTCCAAACCTAAGGCTTAACTTATAAGCTCAGTTCACATCAATATCATTGAGAGAACTATCCAAAAATAGGAAGAACAGTATTTGTGAGAATACAATGAACTGAAATGAAAATTTCAGCGTTCAATTGAGAAAAAGAAATCATCGATCCAGTAAGAGAATGCAACAAATTGTATTGCACTGAACAATAGATCAGGTAGCAAACATTTAGAGCCACTAGATAAGGATCCTAAAAACAGTAACTCGCAACTTTTTGCCATTTCACATCTTGGAAATAAAAAATCAGCTTATAAATCTTTCCTTACATTCCTTAATCTGTATACACATGCAACACCTGGCATTTCTGCATTTTGCCAACACACTTGCCTGCTATAGTCAACACATTAGTGACGAATGAAAACAAGAATTACTTCTTGCATATTGACCTTTTAGAAACTTGATAGACTCTATTAGTTAGACCAGACAAACAGTCCAGTTTGCTTTGAGACAAAGTCAAAAAGGATTTCTGAAAGCTATCAAATCTTGAATAATGCAAAGTAATTGCGAATCATCAATGCTACAATATAACCTTAATCATCTAAAATAAACAACGATAGGCAAAATAGCTTCATAGGCTTAACATATTTGAAATGAGTTGTATATCAAATAAAATTTAAAACAAAAAAGTGTCTGGACTTGAACAATGTGAAGTAATTGCTAATCATCAATTCTAGAATATAACCATTAAACATCATAGAAGTCTTGATGAGGTGCTCTTTGGTCCAAGACTGATCCCATGTATAAAGAAGGCATTTCCTCGATAGGTGACCGACCTCTCCTCAGGCCCAACACACCATAAGTGGCCTTGCAACTCCAAAATCCCTTTCATACCTGCTGTTTCCCATACAAACTTGAATAACCCCAGAGCCCTGTCCAATTGCTTAAGCCCACTCCAAACCACCTTTTCCTCATTAGAAGTCAGAATTCTTCCCATGCACAAGGTAAACCTATTCTCCGAACCATTCCCATAAACCGCTCCACACAAATCCACTTCAATATCTCTAACCTGTCCATAGAGGTAAAACAATAAAAGTGTGAACAAGCACTGTGATGAGTGCCCCAATGTCTTAGAGAGCTTCTTTTGTACCAGGTTTTCTTGGTGCCTGGCATCCTTGTACCCAATACTATTATCGATTAACACATCCCTGATCTGAGAAAGACCTTCTTTCATTACTTTAATCTTTGTCAAATGATTAGGCCAACCATTTTCACTCTTTAAACAATTAATGAGATCAGTGAACATCTCAAGAACATCTTCCCATTTGCGTGAAGGAGAGTCAACAACTTTTGCAGGTGAAAGCCGCATCCATGAAGCAGAATCAGGGTCAAAAGAAACAGCTGATTCAGCCAAGAACTCAAGGCAACTAGAAACTATCTGCTGACCCATCTTAGTTCCTTTACTTGGGAATTGGCAATTCAACAAATCAATCTCTAATTTCAATTCATTCAATATTTCCTCAAGGGCACCTGTCCATATCCTGTGTTGTGTAACCTGCGGACATATTGATAGACGCACCAACTTCCTCTGTTGAGCAGTAACATTCAAAACACTGCTCACTTTGCTTAACGAATTCACAATCATGGGCTGCCTTTCACTAAGTTTACTAAAACAGTCAAATGTAGAGACATATTTCTTTAGCATTAGCTGAACTGATGGAGACCCAATAAAGATCCTCGCAAGTGACTTGAAAGTATTCATTTTCTGTTCAATGCGATCATCAATGATGATTGAATTGTCGTTCACATTCAAAAGCCGTCCATCAACTAAATCCACATCTTTTAAGTAGCAGGCCAATCTTGTTAACTTTGGAAATGCCTTTTCATACCATTCATGAGGCAAGAACTCTTGGTGGGATTCACCTGTGCAGTGATATAACAATGAATTGAAATGCAAGGCACCATTACGCTTCGTTTCACAATACTTTGCACCTTGGAGAACATTTCGAACAACCTTAAAAGCCCTCATCAGTTGGCCAATTCTCTTAAAATGATATATCTCCGAAAATCAACCTCACAAGTGATCATAAAACAACATTATTACATGATCCACGCCATAGCAGCAATAGTTCTGACTTTTTATAGCTTCTTCTCAGTGCTTTCTTTCTCATTCACTGTTTCTTTTATCTAATCCAAATTGAAAAACAGATCTCAACAGAGAACACCCAAATAGGCCAAGCACCTATATGAAATAGATTCTATAACTAGTTGCTGAAAACGAAAAGAAGCAACTTAAAAGCAAAAGATGCAACTAGAAACAGATATCGACACAGCCAAAACAAGCACATCCTAAGAAAGAACAGTAGAGCAACAAATCAACCTAAAACGTTGAAATAGCCAAAATCCAAATGCTAAAACATGAAAAAAATAAAATCAAAGAAATACCCAGATTGAGAAACAACTTAGGATATGAGCTTATGAATCCAGGGAGTGTTAGAAATGAGAAGAAGAAACATAAATGGAGTTTGACCTGAAAAGAGGGATCTGAAGAATGATAAGGAAGAAATAAATCCGAGATGACATTGACGAGATGTCGCTCAGCCATCCTCTTGAGGCTGTTGATGATGCAGCCGTAGTTGCCATTCCCAGAGACCTTTGAAAGCACTCGAGAAAGAACCCAACAAAGAGTACTGAACCGGCCCGGTAGGTCTTTTACTTCTTGAAACAGGACACTGCGTTTTAGAATTAGCCGAAACGACGGCGTAGTTAAGTTTACCACGGTGGCTGGCTTTGCTTATCATTTGTCGACTTCGATTGGTTTTATGTTATTTTTGACAAAAGATTGTTAATCGGCCCGGAAGTATTTATTTTCAAATTAAAAAAAATCAAATTTAAATTCAAATTTAAAAAAAGAAGACTAAATACTGATATAAAAGTGTTCAAAATTTAAAAAACCTAAAATAAAAAAGTGGATGTTCAAATATGGAAGAGTATTTTTAATTTATTTTTTAAATGAATTAAAATTTTTAATTAGGTTAAGATAATTTTGATTTTTTAAATAATCCAAAATTTTAAACCTAAGTTAAATGGGAGTTTAACTTCAGCATTAGGAGGTTGAATAAATTGAATCGAGCATTAATGGCATGTTTAGTTTTGAAATTTGAAAAAAATGAAATAACATCAAACGGGTCAAGAATTGGTTAAAATTTTGTTAAATTAAGTTTGATTGAATTGATTGATTTGGATTTGATTAGATTTTGATTATTTTGATTTTTTAAATTATTAATTATTTTTAAAAATATTTTACAAATAATAGTGTCGCAGTCTCGTAAAATAATCGTGAATTTTACATCGATTATTTATTAAAATTATTTACAGGAGATAAAAATTTATATCATTTTTAACTTATGAAACGTTTTTTGTGAGATAAAATTATAAAATCAAAAAATTAAAACAGATAATATCTCACGAGAATAAAAATTATGAAAAAATGTCATAATCCAAAGTAAATAATACCTTATAAAAATATGAACAATAATAATTAAATTGATTTAAAATATAAAATAAATTTATATTTAAATCTTAAAATTGCACAAATTTAAAATCTGAATCTCGACATGTAACAATAAAACTTGAAGTTTTGAACTCATGTCACTTAACATTTCCTTAACATACTAACAAGTCGAATTTGTTTATTTATTGTCATATTTTATATATTTAATAATAAATATTATATTTAAAATATAATTAATGCTCCAATTAAGCCAATAAATTGAATAAATAAAAAACTCAACATTTAATCTAATCATTAAAATATTATGAAGTTCTATATTTTTTTTTATTATTGCTCAAATCCATTGAATCAAATCAATTTATTTTTATTAAAAATTAAAAATTTTAATTTTACTTTTTTTGAAATTAGAAAGATATTTTTATTTTTGTTTAATTAAAGATGAGCATAAATCAATTTAAAAAAACTTGATCGATTATAATTGATTAAAAACAATCAATTTAATGTAATCAATTTCAGCTAAAATCAATTAATAAGAATGATTTAATTGATTAAATCGATCGATTTTCAACGTAACATTTACAACTTATATAGACTTTTAAAAATGACAATTATGTAATTTTATCATCATCTAAAAGAAACCCTATCTCTGTCAAAATCGTCCCCAAGCCTGCTACGATCTGCAACCCTGGTCCGGTCGAATGCCTTATGTTTCCAAGCCCTGCAGTCTGTAAACTTTGAGATCTTGTGGGTTTGCATTTGACCAATTGATTGTTCATTAGGATTCAACCAAAACCAATCTCGAGTCTCACCTACCACCAGGAGAGATTTGATACATAGTATTAATTTTAAACTTTCACATTTCATTTACGTTTGAAAAGCGTAAGAAAACAAAAACATGATCATCAAAATGATACTGATAGCCGTCCGAGTTAGTAGAACGGCCTCAATTAACATAAAAACATACACATAACTACATTAATTCGAGACAAAAATTCCTTATATTTGGGCTGAATTTTAACACAACTTTCAGCAACGAAACCCGACATGGTCAAATCAAATAAAAGATCAAAAACAAAAGTATGCTATGATTCCATCCATTAACCTGTTTCGTTTCATTCTTCCCTTCAAATTCTTCTGTCTTTGCCGTTCCTATATACGAAGCCTGAAGCAAACAGAGATTCTGTGTCACTTGCTGCAGAACCTCTATAGAGAGTTAAAGAAACATGGCAACTTTGCAAAGGTCTGTAGTTTCATTCAGGAGGCAGGGGTCATCAGGTTCAGTCTGGGATGACTTGTATGAGCTGGGGGAAGACGGCTCGGTGCATTATAGAGATCAGCTAAGGGCATGCCAGAGTACCAGAGAGCGTAGCAGCTCCAATCCGGTCCCCAACACTTGCCCTCGTAGCAAGTCAACCATGAATCCATCTTCTCTTATTAAAGTTTTTGGAAAATTATCTCGTCAAGATAATCCTTTTCCAAAACTCCCAATACTGCCAAAATCCAAGTCAAAGAAACACCAGACATAGTTTCATGTTAACAGATATTCGACGCTGTCAAGTTGTTGGGTTCTCTGCTTCTTTACATTCATTATTCCTTTCCCATTTATCGTCATAATAAACCATATTTTATGTAATCTCTTCGTTAAAAAGTTCTTTAAAATACCATAATGTGAAAAATGTTTGACATGTACAAGATTTATGAGCTAAAAGAGATCTCAAAATCTAACATTTAATAGAATTGAATGTCAAATTTCAACATTTATAACTTTTTTCTTATATAAAATATATATATATATATATATATTTAAAGATAAAGGGATCTCAAAAGTTGCAAGTAACACGTGTGCCGATGGATCCGTGTTTTCAACTTCACTGCCGCAAATAGGTTTGCGTGGAGCTGATAAAAGATGATTTCCCCACACAAGCTATTGCCATTAATGGCATTGCCCAACATCACGTACAAATTGCTAGCCATTATAATTCACACATATAGACATGAAATTGTAGAAAATAGTACATTGGCGTTAAACCTTTGTCTGTTTTTTCTGGTGAACTTTAAAGGGTTTGAAATGGAGGAAAATCCATTTGATGAAAGGCAGATAAATCCAATTTCCGCAAGTTTGGCTGTGAAGATGACTTTCCGTTGGCGTGAAGATTAAGGGAAAGATGCAAGTGAGGCAGGAAATCCAGCCGATGTATCCAAATAATTGAAGAGGAAAATATAGGAATGAAGGCTCCATTTAGTACAACAGAACATCACATTCAGAAATGGTCTTTTGCCTTTTTTTTGTGTGTTTCATTGGCCAAAAGATGACAATAGCAATTGATTTCTAGTCAGAGGCTACATTGCCAATTTGGGAAAAATTATCTTCCGCTCTTTTAGTCTGAAAGACAATTTCTTCCGACATAACTCATCTCTCTGTCTCCCAATAATTAAGCACATTTACAACACTTTAACTTACAATTTTCTTAAATCCAGCGAACAATCTCTAATTTCCTTCTCTTACACCAAATCTCTTTTCTAAATTCACTTTTTTTCTTGATTTCTTCGCTTCCGTTAAATGCAATCAGTCACTAAAAAGATAAGAAACCTTTTAACATTCCCATGAGAGCCAACTAACAAGATCTCCTAAAAATCATTTTCTTCTTCAGAAGCTTTCTCTATTCTCCATGGTTTCTTTGTTTAGTCTTCAATCTCTAAACTAATTTTGTATGCCCAAGTATATTTTTTATAAAATATTTTTCTCAAATATTGTTATTTATTTATTTTATTGTGTTTATTTTTCGAGTTTTTATTATTGATGGATCATGATACTTAATTTCGACGAGATCAATTAATATTTTATTTTATTTTATTTTTATAAGACTTATTATATCATATATATATTATATGCAAACAGTTTACTAATAATAAAAAATAACAAGCTCATAAAATTCAAAAAAAAAAATTTTGACAATTTAAAATTAAAAAATATAAATACATCGATTGTTAATCAATAGTTTTTTTATCAAAACAAGCAAAATAAATACATTTTAAAAAAATAAAATTCAAACTTTTGAGATTTAAAATTATGATAAAATTTTTTATAAAGTGCTTTTAAGATTTGTTTTTTTAAAAAAATACAGAATAACATGAAATAAAAAATCTAAGAGCATAGTTAAAAGTGAAACTGAAAAGTTATACGGAGATGAGAAATTTTAGTGAGTTACAAAGAGAAGGAAAAAATTGCATTTGGTAATTGGTTAAAATTTTAGAATATTGTTAAGAAAATTAAAAAATTAATTTGATTTTTGTTAAGTTTATGTTATTGTGATTTAAAATTTATAATATTTCTTTTGCTCTTAAAAATATATAAGTAATAATTGATGAATATAATAAATAAAGAAATAACAATATGATTTTAACTTCTTTCAATTTGCAGTACAAAAAATTAAATTATAAAATAAAAAATCAATAAACTTAACAATTTTAATTTTAGAAGGACTAATTTAAATTTATTTTATAATATATATAGGTATTTATATATCAAGAATGGTCAAAACTTTTGGAAGGAGTTTTTTTTTTTTATAAAAAAAATTTGAGAATAGATCAATTGTTCAGTCTCTTGTATTATAGCAAGATGTATCATATTTGATAGTTTAAGACAGTTGGTTGAAGATCGTATATGTAAAATAACTCCAATAAATTATCATCAATAAGACTTAAATTCAAAATTTTTTTATAAAAAATAACGTTCTTAACCAATTAAATTAATTATTTGTTGATAAATGAGCCTTAAAAGTTGTCAAAACCTTGGGGGGGGGGAACCCACTTATGGTTAGGGATGGCATCGGGTCGGGTTCGGGGCGGGTTTTGCTCGCTTCGAACCCGACCCGACACTATGTAAATCGTATCCGATCCGAAATTAATAAAAATATTATTTTTAAAATATAAAATATTATTTTTTAAATATAAATATTTAAAAATATCATTATATAAAAATATATATATAAATAATTAATTAATTAAAAAAATAATTTTTTTAATAATGTCGGGTCGGGTTTTAGGCATACCCGAACTTGACCCGACACCAATTATTACCTAATTTTATTCGACTTGAAATTCAAAATTCAAAAAAAAAAAAAATCCGACCCTATAGGGTCGGGTCGGGCCGAAATCCGTCGGGGACGGATTTGATTGCCGTCCCTACTTATGGTTGAATATAGATATGTCGAGTACTGAAAGAAAGATTTAAAAGAGAAAATTACAGGAAGAAGAAGATGGAATGTAAGAAAATGTTTATGTTTTTCATTGAAAAAAATATCAAATATATATATTTTAAAGTGATCTAAATATTGAAAAGTTATTTTTTTGTAAAATATTTCTTTTAAAGGAAAATCTTTTGTTTTTTTGTAAATTATTTTTTAATTATCAAACAGAGCCGAAGTTGCAGGTGGATTTTCTAGTACAGAAGAAAGGGACCATTCATTTGTCAAAGATTTTTAAAGGATTGTTTGTTCAAAGTTGAAACTTATTTGAAGGCTGCCATTCACTTTTGGGACCACTTTGCAGTTTGTACTAGAGAAAAAACAGCTCCCTCTTGCAGCAAGTAAGACTTACAATACTAAAATTCTAACCTACCTCAGTCTGTTTTCGGTTTTGTATCCCTTGTTCTCAATTTTCATTGAGAGCAACCTCACTGCCGAGATTTATACAAGCTAACATTAACCAAGACACTTGAATTGTATTTAGTTGGATTTATACTTGGTTACCTAAAACAAAAGAAAATCAACAAGCAATCGTTCAGCTCAATCAATTAAATTATTAAATATAATCCGATCAAATTCAATCAAATTTAACCAATTAAATTAGTTAAAATCTGCCTATATTCACCTTTAAAAATGCTAAATAACTTTTATTTTTAATTAATTTTTATTTTCAGTATTTCCTAGCAAAGAATGAGTTTTAAGATTAAAGAGTAGCTACCATCCTTTCTTACCTTGGATGCAATCTGTTTAATGAACCATAAAGTGAAGAGAAGTTTGAGTCTAACTTAAGTTAAGCCATTAATTTGTGATAGCCATTGGCATGCATGGTTCCCTCCTCTCTAACTCACTTCCCTTAAAAGGCTAAGAAACAATGGGTAGCTAGGCACAAGTACTCCATTTTTTTTTAACTAGCCCCGGCCTTCAACTTACTTCCAACCCCAGCTAACCACTCCAACTATCGATCATTTCTTCCCCAAAGAATGCAAGAATATGCATATATTTCTTTCTCTTTCTGGTTTTTCATTGCTTGAGAGAATGAGAAGTAATGAGAAGTGGGGGCTCCTTTCAGCCTAAAACAGCTTCAAGGATTTTAGTCTTATCTAAAAGCTCTTGTTGATATCTGTTCTGGACTGAAGGGAGCTCCTAATTCTTTATTTTCTCCCCTACTCTTTCAACAATGTTTTTTTTTTTTTTCTTTTATCTAAATATGTGCCTACCATGGATTTTGGCACCAGCTTGCTTCATTAATTAGGTATATATTACAATCCTTCTCAACCCTACTTTTCAAAATTACATTTTTTTTTTTGTAAGCATAAATGTAATCTTCCTTAGCATATGTGATGAGTATTGGGACAATTAATTTCGGAAAAATTTATCTTATTAACTCAATTTAATAAGAATATATTCATTTCTTCTTATTGTAAATTTGCAACTAATTTTTGTATAGTTTCATTGTTTAGTTGAAAGTGCATTCACTATCAAGTAGTGAAAAAGATTTTTTTTTTCATTATTTCTTTAGAGAGAAGACTTAAATAAAAAATTTTAAATAAATTTGATGATATTCTCTATTAAAAATAATCTCATAAAAATTTAAAAATATTATTTATAATCAAAATTTATTTCGTACTTATTTAATGGTGAAAATTTTATCAAAAATTTTAGTAAAAGTATTTATCTAAAAAATGTATCAAAGTTTATCAAAAATTTTTAAAATATTATACACTTGATTTATGTAATAAAACTTTTTAATCTATTATTTTGAATTTTAAATTTTAAATTTATTTAATTATTTTTAATAAAAAAATTTCACCAACTATATTTAAAAAATTATACTTAAATCTTTTTCCATTTTTCACTTTGAGAGAAGGGGATTTGAATGCACTCCTTTGAACGGAAAATATATGACAAATACCATGGAGCCAAATGCTAAGATGTATACATCATTCCACCTTTAAATATATTGAAATCCTTAACTCTTGGTTTAATGGTTAAAAAAATTTTACGAGAACATAAATATCTTAATTTTGAATTAATATTTTTTCCTCTTTTAAGCCTATATTTATAATAATTAATAAATTTAATATGGTAAAAAAAGTTATAATTTAATAATGTTTTGACAATAAAATAAGCATGCCATAATGTTAAAAACCTATTTAATTATGAAATTTAAAATTTTGTTTGGTGTTGTGTAAGATATTTATTTTATAAATAATAATACCATGTTAGTCCCATTTTTATTATTTTTAGATATTTTAAAATTATATAATTTTCTTTTTTAGAATACTTAAAATTATATTTTTATATTTTAAAATTATTTTTATGATTTTTAAAAGTTTTTAACATAAAAATTATGAAACATTAATTTTATAAGTCAACAAACTATGTAATATGTTTATAAAGTATTAAATTCTTAGTTACAATAATTAGAGTTTAAATTACAACAAATAAAAAAATCGTTAATTTTATAAAAATTAAAATGTTAATTTTAAATACACTAAATCAATATATTTTTAAATTTTTGTAAAAATCATTGAGGAACAAAGAAATAAGGAATGATGGAGAAATAAAGAAGAGATTTAGACATTTACGATTTTGATGAGATGGAAAATATTAGTACAAATAAGATTAATTATTCTAAGTAATGAAATTGATTATTATAGTTATGAAATTAAAACTAATGGTGAGATATTTGTTTGGATAATTAAAACAATAATAATTGAAGTGTAGTAAAAAAAGAAAATATTAAAATAATTATCAAAAAATTAATCTAAAAATATATTGTATAACAAATTTTTTGTATCTTCTAATATTATTTAACAGTTAATATCTTGAAAATTTATTCAATTAAAATATTGACACATATATTTATTATTTTAAAAAATAATAATACATTTACACATCTTAAAATAAATTCACTAATATTAATTTATTTTATTATTTATTTTAATTAATTACTTAATTATAAAATGCATATATTTTCCATATTTACTAATAATTTGTTTGATTATAAAATTGATTATTTTTATGTATTTATTACTTTTATTTATTAATTAATTTATTATACAATTATATAAACGATATATAATAATAATAAAGTTATGTGAAAAGCTTTATATAAAAATGAAAAATTAAATAACAAAACAGAGTAAAATAAAAAAAAAAAGTTATAACTTTAAGTAACGATTGGATTAGTGTGATTAAGTTCACTATGCTTTTAATTAAATTTAAATGTCAATTTAAATATCAATTTTAATAAAATCAAGTCGATATAAATTTTTTATTAAAATTTTTTTCAATCGTAATTATAATAATTTTTTTAATTATAGTTACAATAAATTTTATTATTATTTTTAATTTTATTATAATTAATCTCATCGTTTATTAAAATAAAGCATAAATAATAAGAATAATTTATTATAAAGGATTTTGTTATTATATAATAAAAATTGTAATTGAAAAATAAAAAATAAAGAAGGAGAAAATTTACTCAGCTTAATCATTACAGTAGAACTATGATAGATTATGCCAAACCTATTGCTCCAACTAGTACTTCATTCCTGTCCCAGTGAGATCAATTAATAAGCCGTCTGTAATTAACTCTTTCATCAAGTCTAAAGCGACACTCGCCCAACAACCGACAGCTTTGTATTTCAAGAAATATGAAACTTATTATTAACAGCTTTTAATGATTTGTTTGAGTAAAACTACGTGAAACACCTTCGTGAAATTTCATCAAATTTTATTTCTAAATTTCCACCCTAAATTTGTTAACAAGAAGAGTCAAAGGGTCTAAACTTTTCAGCCAAGTTTCAAGATTCAATCTCTAATTGAATCTTGAATAAAAATTTTAAAATTTAAATTTATTAATTAATTATATTAATATATAAATATAAAATTTTATATAAAAAATATCTTTAATGTATTTATTTTTTTTTTACCCGCATCTTTTCATTCTCATTTTTTTTACCTTATCAGGAAATTCATAAGACTTGGAAAAAAAATAAAATTTCCTCCGATTTAACTTAAAAATATCTTATTTATTGATCATATTTCGGTTATTACAATTTCCAACTAAAATGCAAAAAAAAAAAAGTCTATTTTTTTTACACGAAAATCCATCATACATTAAACACGTGTGTCGCACGTGAGCAATTTAAATATAGAAAACCATAGATATTTATTAAAGGAAAAACCATTTTTTGCAAAAGCGGAGAAACATGGGCAGCACAGCCAGCACATAATGTGGTCCCAATACGTTGCATTTTCTTTCTCTTAACTGCCACTCGTCCGATCAAATCACAATCGAACGGTTCAAGCTCCTCCACGATCACTTCTCATTAACCTTTGATTCGCCAACTTCCTCATGGCTCCCATACGTCCACGCTCCCTCACTTATATCCCTTGGATTTAAATTGAATCCAATGGCTAATACTCTTCTGCAACATTCTCTTTCTAATTTACTCACTGTAACATTAATATACCGCTCTTTTTGTCCACTCCAAAAAAAAAAAAAAAAACCAGAGAAAATCTCTCAATTTCTTTATTCGTTCTTATAGAAAGAAATGCAAGAACAAGCAACGAGTTCAATTGCAGCTAGTTCTTTGCCTTCTAGTAGTGAAAGATCTTCAAGCTCTGCACTTCAAGTTGAAGTTAAAGAAGGTAAGTTTTTTTTTTAAGCTATTTTTACATTAGTGTTTTAAAATTTCAAGCAAAAATGACTTACCTTCGTGCTTGATGAATTTTTTTCTTCCATATTTCGAAAAAGTTTACTAAATTTCCATCTGGTTTTGTGGAACAAGATGGTTTTTCTATGTGGGTTTTGTAAAGTTTTTAGCTTTCTTAACTGGGTATTCGTTTTTCTTTTCTCGAGAAAATCCATTGAGATCAACAGCATTTTCATTTGTTACATTGCTTTCTTTATAAGGAAAGAAGAAAAGTTTCTTTTATCCTTTTGGGTTAAAGAATCAGAACTATTTTTTTAAGGCATGGAAAGTGATGAAGAGATCCGAAGAGTGCCTGAGATAGGTGGGGAAGTGTCTGCAGCTCCAGCTGCCCCTCGAGAAGCCGGTTCTTTGCCCGGTCCGGACCGGGTTCAGCCATCAGGTGAGGTTGTTCAGAGAAAGAGAGGGAGGAGCCCAGCGGACAAAGAAAACAGGCGCCTAAAGAGGTAAGATTTGGACCTAGCGTAGGTTCAGCCAGATAATATTACTGTTTTGCCCTCTTATTTGAGAGCAAGTGGAATTGTTGTTGACTTTGGGTGGCTCGTTTTCTTTCCTGTTGAGAGAAGGTTGTTGAGGAACAGAGTTTCAGCACAACAAGCAAGGGAGAGGAAAAAGGCACACCTGACTGAGCTGGAGACCAAAGTTATAGACTTGGAGAAGAAAAACTCTGAGCTTGAAGAGAGGCTGTCCACGTTGCAGAACGAGAATCAGATGCTTAGACAGGTAAATTACTTTTCTCGCAATCACCACCATCACATAACATCATCATCATCATCATCATCGTTACATAGTGTCACCTCATAATTGTCCTTTGGACGGAAGCAATTGGATCACTCTCAACTCTAAATATAAATATCAAGGATACAAGTATTAAAACACATGGTTATTACAAATTGGCATGTTATTCACGTCTAATCTATTGTTAGTTTTTTTTTTCTTTGCAAAAAATTGAAAGATCATGCATAATTCATGAATGGGGTATGTGAGGTGAGCCCACATCGCCAGTACCAGATGACTGATTTTTGTTTTGTTTTGGTTATATATATATATATATATACACCATAAAATGTTGCGGCTTGGGAATAAGTTGATGACAGTACTCTCTCGAATGTTTGATCATTGATGTTCCTCGAAAAGTTTTCTGGTGCCGTCTCGAGCATTTTTTTTTCCCCCAATTTTTGGCCTTAAGTAATAATTATCAGCAGTTGGCAAGTGGCCCAGAAGAGACAATCAAAGTTGGTTAGGTCATGACAATACTGGGTGGGCGACATCGCTGTGGTTAGGTCAGGCTTGAGCCCAAGATTTAGGCCAGCCTTGCGCTGTTTCGGGCTCAGGCGTAAGTGTTGGTTTGATAAATTTAAACTCAAATAAATGAAACAATTAAAAAACTTTTTATTTTAATTTGCAGATAGTGAAGAACACAACGGCAAGCAGGAGAGGAGGAAGTGGCACTTCAACTTCAAATACTGCAGCAGATGGAACTCTATGAGGAGTGACTTGAGTATAGAATTTGTAGGTTTGGAAAACATAAACTAATGTAAAGAGATTTGTGCTTCAGAAAATTCTATTACCAATGCAATGAAGCAGCATGACTATAGAACTTTGGTGATCTTAAATCATAAATGATCAAAACTAAGCTTTTTATCATCTCACAGTGATGGCAATGGAAGCTAGCTGTGGTTCAAGACTGGCAAACGGGGTAAGTTAAATTAAGACCACATTTCAGAATGGTGGTTCATCTGTCGAAAATTTGGTCAATGGCTTATACTGGTATTTAATCAAATGGTAGTGGTTGTGAGAAATTATTATGGATTTAGGTAGGCTGTCACTCTGTCGGCAATAACAGCAAACCGGTTGCTAAAACTCCTATAATGATATTCAAATCATGTTTAGGGTACCATCAATCGTTAGTTATATATGTGACGAAAGAAAAATCTTGAAGTTTATAACGAAAGAAAAAAATATCTTCTGCCATGGCTGATAGCCAATTCGTGTCCTGATCCAACAAATAAATTTACAATTGCCAATTCATGTCTTGATCCAACAAATAATTTTACCTTTGATTTGCTTGCATATGGTTTTTCTAGTTAGAATCCCTCTTTCTTTCTCAAAAAAAAAAAAAAAAAATCAGCCTCTTTCTTTCTTTCCTATTGTTGTTAATATCCTATTAATTATCAGAAAAAAAAAAAGAAAAACAATATTCTATCGTTTAAACTCGTATATCAAAAGCAGTAATTAGTAATATTCAGGGTAGAAAAAAATTATTATTAGCAATGTTCAAAAATAAAAAAGTGCAGAAATATTTTTAAAACGTTGAAGAGTAATTTACTAATTAGTTGACAGCCTAAAATATAAAAAAATATTCAACAATCATTTAGATTTTTTATATTTTATTACTATCAATTAAATTTTTTTAAAAAATTAAATCAATTAATTTTTAATAATTATTTTTATCTAATTAAGTTTTCAATTTCACAATTATTTTTTTCTAATAAAAATTTAATTGATAAAAATAAATATTTAAAAATTTAGAAGCTTATTGAATTCGGGTGATGCCCTTTTGCCTATGTAGTCTAATGGAACATGGAGAAATTGAGTCCACCGACAGCCACTGGAGCGGCAGACGCGAGTACCGGCAATAACCGGTAATTTTAAGTACAGGCTGTTACCGGCAAAGAAAAACGTTTTAGAATGTATAACGTCCATTTCCATGAAAGAAACTGGTTAACGGCCAGTTGAACATGTGTAACAATATAATTGGGTTTGTTAAGCGAATAGTCAAACAGAAGCAGATTTTTATATCAGTAAACCAATGGTTCGCTAAGTTCGTTTAGTTTTTGTTCCACAGCAGCAGTACGTAGCTTAACAGCCGTGGCTAAGCTAAACTGCTAGCTTTGAATATTTATATTTTGAAAAATTATTTGACATATTAAAAATAATTTTTTTTAATTTTATGACATTAAAAAATTGATATATATTATATTTTTTAATTAAAATTTTTTATATATTTTAAAAAATATATGTTATCTTATTAACTTCACTTGAATTTAAAAATTGTATTATTAATATATTTAATTATTTTTATTTTTTAAATAAAATAATTTTTCTCATATTTTTACTATTAATAATCACAACGAATTCTTTCTCCGTGCCTCTTAAAAGCCTTTCTTCAACTCCTCCTTTGATGTCCTATAATCGAAAAGGAAAACCCCTCCACTCTTGCTCTTACTTTCATTTATAAAGACAATTATTTTTTTATTATCTTTTCAACATATATTTTTACTCTAAAAACAATTCCTAATATAAATAAAAGAGTTTTTTTTTTTATCTTCATAATATTCTTAATATAAGTTTTTAATCAAAAAGCTAAAATACTAAATGAGTTTATAAACTATATCACTTTATTTAAATAAATTTTATACTTTTATTTTATTCAAATAATTTTTTATTTTATTATTTGTACCAAAATATGCTCTTATTTCAAACACAAAAATTGATTTATGTTAAGAATTTACTTATGTATAATTTAAAAGATAATGGCTTATTTAGATGAAAATTAAAATTTAAGAATTTATTTGGATGAAAAAAAAGATTAAAAATATATTTAAATATAATAAAAATATAAAAATTTATCTAAATAAAATAATAAAGCTTTAGGGGCTTTTGTTATTTTAGCCAAAAGGCTATAATACTAAAAGCCGAGCCAGCCAGCCTTATTGGTTGCGAAATGAGCAAAGCCGAGCACAGTTAGGTAACAGAGGCAGCTGCTAGCAACTGGTTCACCCGGTGAAAATCTTAACATCTCACCCAAAGTATAAAGACAATAAAAATAAAAAATAAACAGAAAAAAGAAGTGATAAAAAGACAAGGCATTGAGCCCAAGATCGAGAGAGCTGTAATGAGTAGAGAGAAGATAGCGATGGCTTGTTGAACGGGAAAAGATTGCCATAGCCTTTTCTCAGCCCTCCCCACACTTAAATTTTCATCTGACACTTTTATCTCTCGATCTGGTAAAGAAACAAAAACTCATGGAAGCAAGTGCTGGAATGGTGGCCGGGTCTCACCGGAGGAACGAGTTGGTTCGGATCCGCCATGATTCTGATAGTGGGGTTTGTGTTTTAAGCTTGCCCGTTTCTTATTTCAGTCTCTAGTTGTATTTTTTTTTTTTTTGTTTATTTGACTTGCATTGTGGTGTTAGGATCTGAGTTTATCATTATGGAAGGTGACTTTTCAGCTTAAAAGTTTAGACCCTTTCATTGATTTAGAAAATGGGTAGTCGTTGTTTAGATCTAAATGTCAGTTGGCTGAAAGTTAATTTTCAGTCTTAAGTTCGTTTTGTTTTTTCTTTGGTTGACTGAGGAACTGAGGAAATGGGTAGTGATCATAATCGGATCTTGAGATTTTATTCTTATCTTTAGCCTAGAAACTCATCTGTAGAATTCTGTTTGTCTCCCTACAGCAGGTGGTGAAGTTCTGAACTTAATACTTTGTCTTATTCAAAGTCGATAGTTTACTGTGGCTTTGATTTTATTAGATGTTTTACGTGTCTGGTTGATGTTATTTATGTGGATGACTATTTGGGAATGTTCAAATGTTGAGAAGATTTATAGTAGTGTTCATTGTTCTCTTTAAATGCAGCCCAAACCGCCGAAGAATTTGAATGGGCACACATGCCAGATCTGTGGAGATAATGTTGGACTTACTGCTGCTGGTGATGTCTTTGTTGCTTGCAATGAGTGTGCCTTCCCAGTTTGCAGGCCTTGTTATGAGTATGAACGGAAAGATGGGACTCAGTGTTGCCCCCAGTGCAAGACTAGATATAAGAGGCAAAAAGGTTTGTCTGTTTTTTTTTATTGTTTCTATTTTGAATTCCATTTTATCATTTTGCTTTTAATTTTTTTTTATCATGGGCAAATTAAGTGATATCTGAATATTTCAGGGAGTCCTCGAGTAGAGGGAGATGATGATGAGGAAGATGTTGATGATTTGGAGAATGAGTTTGATTATGCTCAAGGACACAGTAAGGCACGACGGCAGTGGCAGGGTGAAGATGTGGATCTTTCTTCATCCTCCAGATATGAATCTCAACAACCAATACCCCTTCTTACCCATGGCCATACGGTAGGCATTTATGTAGTTCGCCCCACATTGATGTTATGAAGTTTGCATGGTGCTTGCACAGATGCTGATATTTGTTCTTCTTTAAATACCACTCTTATATCTACTGGGTGGTTGAACACTGCTGTTTCAATTCCTGAGTTTCGGTATCCAAGTTGGAAAAGTCAAGTCATCCATTGTGGTTTATCCTAATCAGATTTTAATTGACAATATCATTTCGTGCTTTCTGATTTTGTAGGTTTTATTAGTGTCTTGCTAAATTTCCTTTAAAGCTTTTCACAGCACAGCAGTTATATGCATTGCTAGTGTGCGATTTCTTTTGTTCATTAGTGGTTGAACTCTTATGTATAGCCTGGTTTGATTCAATCTTAAGAAAAGCATTTTGTATTTGGGGAAGTGACTAGCTTTGCTCCTACATTCTCTAGTGATTAATAATATGAGATTGAAGATTCCTCTGCTTTTGTGTTATTCTACTTAAATGCTCAATCATGCTTACTTATAGGTCACCATTTTTAGGTTTCTGGAGAAATTCCATGCTCTACACCAGACAATCAATCTGTGCGAACAACATCAGGTCCTTTGGGCCCTTCTGAAAAGAATCTTAGTTCATCTCCTTATATCGATCCAAGGCAGCCAGGTAATTAAGTTATTGGGTTTGTTTACAAGCTTTTTTCTCACTGGAAGGGGTTTATGATCTCAGTTGATAATGTCATCTTTTCTTATAGTCCCGGTGAGAATTGTGGACCCAACAAAGGACTTGAATTCTTATGGCCTTGGGAACGTCGATTGGAAGGAAAGGGTTGAAAGTTGGAAACTCAAACAGGAGAAAAATGTGACGCAGATGACCAGTAGATACCCTGAAGGGAGGGGAGATATAGAAGGAACTGGTTCAAATGGGGAGGAGTTGCAAACGTGAGTTTATCTTGTCTAGAATAAAACTAAAATTAGTTTACTCTGTTCCCTTGAATGCTATTGTATATCTTTATTGCCTTACAATTTACATCAAGTTGATATTTCTTCATCTCAATTTTTTTCTCATTTTTTGGTCATTTTATTTTTGAGTGGGTGTTGCTATTTATTATATTTCTATCTCTTGGTGCAAGTTTTGGTTTTGTAGAAAGAATTTATATGATTTTCACTCAATTGCTCTCATCTATGCATTTCATGTGTGCATTTGTTTTTGAAGTTTGATAGTTATTGTACCACAGGGCTGATGATGGCCGTCAACCTTTAAGTCGTGTGGTGCCTATTTCTTCGTCTCACTTAACCCCTTATCGTGTTGTGATCATTCTCCGGCTTATCATTTTGGGTTTTTTCTTGCAATATCGTACAACTCATCCAGTGAAAGATGCATATCCATTGTGGCTAACATCTGTAATCTGTGAGATTTGGTTTGCTCTATCTTGGCTTCTGGATCAGTTTCCAAAATGGTATCCCATCAATCGTGAGACCTTCCTTGACAGGCTAGCTTTAAGGTCAGTTCTATTACTTTGCTGATGGATTTTTTCTTATGTGGATGAAAAACTCTTTTTTTTTCTCTCTTTCTGTGCCTGCTTGTGTTAGTGGTGCTATTGCTTGTTATCATACCACTAATAGTGGTTGGCTTTATTTTCTAGATATGACCGGGAAGGGGAACCATCACAGCTAGCCCCTGTAGATGTTTTCGTCAGTACAGTGGATCCACTCAAAGAGCCTCCACTTATCACAGCGAACACTGTCTTGTCAATCCTTGCAGTGGATTACCCTGTTGACAAAGTAGCTTGCTATGTTTCAGATGATGGTTCAGCTATGTTGACTTTTGAAGCGCTTTCTGAAACAGCAGAGTTTGCAAGGAAGTGGGTGCCTTTCTGCAAGAAGCACAACATTGAGCCTAGAGCTCCTGAGTTTTATTTTGCTCAAAAGATTGATTACCTAAAGGACA